CGCTGGAAAGATCGCACATCTAATTTGCCACGCACGGTATGTTCAACACAGCGAACTACCAGGGCGAGGTATCGTATCACCAAGAAGACAGCTTTATCCAAGTTGCCGCGAGCGCGGTATTTTTCTGAGAGGGCTGATACCAGTTTACCTTTTGATGATGTTGCACTTGTGGATCCCCCGCGGGTTGGTGTGGGATTCATGTGCGGCAGGCTATGCAGCTCGTGCAAAACACCAACTTTTGTCATCCCACTTAGTTCACAAATGCGCGGTCATTTATCATTCGAATTCTTCATATGGTTTCAACAAACTCAACTGCTTCAGGTATTCGTATACATTTGGAAGGATGGATGCAATTGAAGCATCAAACAGACCCATCTCCGCGTGTATTTTGTATGTACACACAAACATACAGATGTATGAAACGGAGTCATATGTACATGTAATCTTGTGCATATACCAATGTGTATGGTGTGTACCCGCATGTAAGAACACACATACCTACTTCTGTACCTAAACCTACACGTATACCTAGACCTAGAACTAGATCTGGACCTAAACCCAGACCTAGACCCAGACCTAGACATACATATAAACAGATGCATATGATGCATCCCTAACCTTGCTATACACCCCAAGGCACGTCTGCTCCCCGGACTTGAAGAGTGGGGTGAAGCCAAACTCGGTACGCATCTCCAGGCTGGTCCCGGCGAGGAGGGCTCTGAGCCGGAAGTTCAGCATCCCGCTTGCGTCGAACGCGAAGTTGAACAGCTGGAAGCCCTCAACGAGCTTCCCTAAACACAAAACCCAAAACCCGAAACCCAGAACCCCAATACAGAATGTGCTTTCGAGGTTCTCCCTGCGCCCTGGTGGAAGCAAGGCTCAGGTGCCGTGCCGCTGCTGCGCCGCGACGTTCCTTCATCCAGAGATACCCAGGGGATCAAGTACCGGTAGAGTTTCGGGATATCATAATATTTTGGGGCTCAGAGTTTACCGGGTTTGGGGTTGAGGATTGCTGGATTGCTTGAAGTATCGTATCATATGTTGCATTGATTCAAGCTGATGACGGGAGGGAACACAGCCCTTCCAAATGCAACCCAGCTTCCGAGGTCAAGTTGACTCCCAAGTCGGAATAGTTTGCGGAGGCCAGGTAGAAGTCCTCCTCCTCCATCCATTCCAACGTACCCTGGTCCTCCCGCGTTGCTTCTTCACCGGATGCGGCTTTACGCGTCTCGTTTTGGCTGGTCTGGAGAAGCTTTGTCCTGGAGATTTCTTGCTGGGGGTTAGTGGAGCCCTGCCAGGTTCCGGTGCTGGCGTGCGTGTGCTCCCCTGCAAAATCCGTGGGACTGCCGAACCGCTTACTCAGGCGGAGGGAACGGCCGAAGAGCAGCACGCCACTGGACTTGATTTCGGTACGCAGCAAGCTCAGGTCCTGACCGTCAGGCCTGCCTTCGGGCCAGCACACTGTCGTGTCCACCGATGCCAGTGGCTCGGGCATTACGTCGACCTGCAAACCTCCCACAAAGGCCACCACGGGCTGGACATTGATGCCGTACGTGACCGTCATGCACCTTTCGATGGCCGACTCGCCCATGTAGAAAGAGTAGCCTCTGACTTGGGACTACGAGCGTCTACCCGAGTCTACCCCGTATTGTAGCAGAGCCCGAGCAAGTGTGAAACAAAGCAGGTTTACCAGCACCATGAATACGACTGAACTCCGCTCGACGTCGACATGCGCGAACAACTCCCTGCCTTGCCACTTATTCCAGTTCCTCTTCATCCAATCGTTTCCGCATGGGACAGCCCAAGGCTCCAGTGCCACGAATGTATCCTCGTTCTGTACCTGGCTATCACAAACATGAGTCCCAGATTCGGGGATCGTGCAACTTGAGAAACCTGCCCTACATTCCCAGGATTTTACTTACATCCAGAACCATAACCATAGCTAGACGTATACTTGTAACACAGCTGGTGATTCTATTCTACTGTTCTACGGCGGCAGGACGAAAGTTCGTCGTACCCTCGCATATTGGTCTCCAACACCGTCCAAAAACTATTTCCCGCGAAGACTCCTGCACCGAAGCCCTCCGCGCGGAACCGTAAAGTAGTGTAATTTATTGCTCCGCTATCAAATCCACTTCTGGATACTGCACATGGTCCGCACGACCCATCACGATCCCATATGTAAGGCAACGAAACTATGATCCCAGCAACGTATCCTATACCAGTACCATTACCATTGCGATTGCCAGTACCACGACCATTCCTAGCACTATTCCTATTCCTAATCCCTACTGCCATTATCATTATCATTATCATTATCATTATCATTATCATTATCATTATCATTATCATTTTCATTTTCATTTTCATTTTCATTTTCATTTTCATTATCATTTTCACTGTCATTATCATTATCATTATCATTATCATTATCATTATCAATATCAATATCAATATCAATATCAATATCATTATCAT